ATGATTGTAATACTAATAAAACAACACCCCAAAATAATAATAAAAGAACAACAACACAACAACAACAATACAACAACGACGACAACACCACCACAACCACCACCAACAACAACACTAACGATGGCGACGACTCTCTATTACTTTTGCTCAGTTTTACAGAATGAGCGCTGCAGAATATTACTGCAAGAAGTGCTACTACATACTTCAGCATAAGTTGAGGACCACCTTGACAAACAGCCTTGATTTTTTTTTTTTATCTGAGAAAAAACCAGCAAGGAATGTATCAAAATGTTTTGCTCCTAAAGTGTTAATGGGTTACCAATGTGTATTACAAAGCTTCCTAAAGGGGCAAAACCATTACGTGCTGTACGGAAATCCTCTGGGAATTTTTGCCATTTGTGCTTTTTTTATCGACGTGTGTGCGCATCACGGACATTCCTCAGCTAAAATTTCTAGTGAACGTCAGAAATGGGCGTACGGTCCCGAACTGTGCTCACTTTGGTGGCAGTACAAGCTGCCGTTTGCGCCGAAAGCAGCATGTCACCAAGATGACAGTTGAGAGACTTTGATCGTGCCTGAGCTATGGTATGGCTGCAGGATAGAGTTGGAGCTCGAGAAGTTGCCAGAAGGCTTACAGTGTCACACTCTGTCATTGTCCGCTTGAGGCAACGCCATCAAGCCACTGGATCAGTCCAAAAACGGTCGACCCAACAAGACCACTTTACAAGTGTTTACAAGTGGTCTTTAACTTATTATGTTGAAGTCTGTATAATAAAAACAAACAAACAAACAAACAATAAACAAATAAGCAAACAAACTACGACTAGCTCCTCGATTGCCACTGCAATTATTTTATACAAACACTATTGTTTTAGCTGTAATTAGCTGAAGTTCCGTGCTGGTTGCATCTAAAAGTATTAAAGTATCACAGCTACTGCTACTTTATAAAGAAATACTACTACTGCTGTACATGCACAAGGACCTCTATTGTTCAAAAATGGTGAAATGATATATAGTGGACCTCCACCTCACTCTGTCTTGCGTTGCAGCAATGGTGCCTGTTGTTCTTGCTGCTGCTGCTTCTCTCTCTCTCTCTCTCTCTCTCTCTCT